CTGGGCTGTGTCAACAGGAGCCTAGCCAGTGGATCGAGGGAAGTAACTATTATCTTTTGCGAGCACTTGTTGGACCATATGTAAAACACCACATTTTGTTTTGGCATCTACAGTAAAAAGAATAAAACTGGAATGAGCTCAGCAAAAGGCCACCAAGATAGACAGGGGCTGTGGTATTTGCCCTGTGAGGAGAGAGTGACAGACTTGGGCTTGTTCAGCCTAGGTATGTGAAGAAATTTATCCACAAAGAGGACAGCTAGGCAGCAGAGCACGTTGCACAGAAAGGTTGTGCCATCTTCTTCCTTGAAGTTTTCTCAAGACCTAACTAGGTAAAGTCCTAACCCACCTGGTCTGACCTCATGGCTGACCCTGCACTGAGCAGGTTGTTGGACTCAATGTCTCCCAAGAACCTTCCCACCTGAGTTATTATGTTTCCTAATCTTCTAATCTGTTTTCCTCACTACTTCTCTTGGAATATCACATTTTTTAAAAGCATAATACACAATAATCGAACAGGATTATTCAGGAGCTGAAATAATGTTAACTCAACACTGGGTAATATCAAAACTCTAAGTCAGTCACCCTATGGGCGACTACTTCACTGACCCAGTGACATCAGCCATGATATTTCTATTGCTGTGGACACATGCTTATCATTCATACTCAAAAAAATTTGTGCTGCCTTATAAACATGCCATAACGCCTGGCAAGGAGAGGATTAGAAACACACAGGTTCTAGCATCTGGAATTCATCACCTCATTAAAAGCCCAGATGTGATGGCAGCTAACAACTGGCATTCACTTAAGAGTTGGATTCAATGATCCTTGTGGGTCCCTTCCAACTCAGAATATCCTGTGATTCTGACTCAACTGAAGAAAAAATAAACAAAGAGACCTATGGGATTGATCAGTCATACCAGGGAACATATTTCACCCTGCAATGAGGGGGACATTCACAGTCATTCTAGTCAAACTGCTCCTCATTAGCAAAATGTAAGGCAGCCTTCTCTCTCCTATTCATTCCCAGTTCAGAATTGGAAAAAACATCTGGAGTATCTTAAGCACTGCTGGCATCTGCATACAGAAGAGGTAGTTTTGCAATTTAACGCATTCATTATGTTACTATTTAGATTATTGTCATGAAAGAGAAGTACCTTGACCATTTCTTCTGCCAACTATCAACACATCCAGAATAAGGCTGAGCTGCCTTACTTAAGTGAGAGTAGAACGAGGATCCTTGTAGAGCATCAGAGTCGAGTCTTTTGAGGCAGCTTTCTGAATTGCTTTCTCTACATCCACACAAGGAGATATATGATCTAATTCTTTAAGCAAAGTCAGGAATAAGTCGGGTCCCTGCTTTTCCAAAGGATAAGAGTTAGACTCCAATAGCTAATTCCTTTCTCCTCATATTTGTTTATTTATTTTTCCAGGCCATATAATAAACATTTTGCTGAAACAGGAGAAAAGTATCTAACTGGCAACAATATCTTGTAACTCGCAGAACTAGGATATGGAGAAATGATTACTTTGGTTAGTGAAGTGAGTTATGAGCAGTCTTGGAAATTCTCTGTATTAACAGTATAAGACTAATGTATGACTCTCAGATTCCTAGTAAGCTTTCCATGTTCATTTCTGGTTCTGAATAACCTGAATAACACAGGAGAGGAAGAAAAGTTTGGAAAAATTATCAAATCCTCAGTCGAGTCTTAAGAAATGGAATTCTACTTGGAAGAAGTATGTTTGAATTAAATTAAAGCTTACTGATGACATATGAAGGATAGAACAATTATGTCCAGTTGAAAAATAATTTTTAAAAGGTACTAATACTATTAAATATTTGGACAGAAAGATGTATCAGTTCTGTAACTGTGATCTTCAACCATTGCCCTAGCTGTTAAGACAGAAAGCATAACCAACGTGTTTTAAGAAAGTTTTGAGCAACATCTCTAACAGATTTTCCTTTTGTTAAATAATTACACTGAAAGACGGATTGACTAAAAAACTAAAAAAAAAAACTAACCAAAACTTAAGCTCCGAAAGAACAGTCATATCACTGCAACTTTCACCTCCCTCCCCTCAAATCTAGCTGAATTTCCAGAACACTTATTTTGGCACACTGATTTCTTATCCCATGTTCCTCTTGCTTAGCAGACACATTCTTATCTCTGTCTTTGGATGGCTCAAGCAGAGCCTTTACAGGAAAGATTAACTCAGCTATCTTGCCTTTAAACTTCTGATAAAAGCAAACCACCATTTTATGTGATGGTCCACTGGATTTCTATTACTCTGGGCAATTTAAAAAGAGGCAGCTTCTAGGAGGATGTGCCTACCCAGAAGTGATAAGGCATGCAGACACGCCAGTCCAGGTAAACCTCAGTCCCAGCACTCCACACTACATTTGTGAATTGACAGAGGATTTGGCATTTCTGAGCTGACGTGCCAACTTTTTCATTATAATACAAACTGTCTTCATGAGAGATGTTACATAGTGCCAGCACTGGACTGAAAACACTGGGAAATTATTAAAAAAGGTTGCTGGGTTTCGTAAGTCTTCAAAAATAGTCTCAAGACCAAAGGAAAGACTACATATGTTAACTGGGTAGATAAAACGTTCTATCAGAAAACCAGCGACAGAAAGGAATGGAATCTAGTGCAAAATCATTTAACTAAATATATCTGCTTCTTATGGACTGTTGCTACAGAAAGTGTAAGATAAAATAAAACCCATTTCACTATAGCACATTCCAGATCTAGATTTGCACAGAGGAGGCACTCTCAGGATAAAGTTACATATTATGCCTCCAGATGATTTAACATATAACCATATGCTAATGAAGACAAAGCTATTCATGCCTCCTCCCCCATAATATGCAGAATACTCCCTTCCTCCCATTTCACCAGTGTTTGCCAAAAACTATACCATGCTGATTCAACACTGACTCGAATGTGCTAAAATGAGCAACTTTCTGTGGGATTAGCAAATTGAATTAACTCAGTGAAGGGTCAAACAACTGCTGAAGCAATGGGGCTTCACCCTAAGATATTGAGATTGGTGTTGCGCCTCTTCTCCACCCTATAGGTGTGAAAAGACAGCTCAGGTAGGAAGCAGGGTGGGATTCCTAGACAACAGAAATTGAAATTGCATAAGTAACAAAGTAGGAAACCTCAGGCACTGAAGATCTAAATGACCTTCCTATTGTTTTGATCATGCCCCCTTTAAATCTACTGGGCTCCAATGTCCTCAAATACCCTCTCTCCCCTTCTTTCCAAATTTCTTGACTTGTCATACATTATCTATCCTCTCAGCTTTATGATACCCAAATCCTTATTGTCCTTCCTTAGTGTTTCTTCTTTCCCCTTAAACTCATAATCACAACAACAGCATTAACGTGACACTCATCACCATCTAAACAATCACCTAGCACACACATCCCACCCCTTTCCCCTTCCTTTTTCCATTTACTTACACTGTGCAGGAGACTGGAAATCACAATACTTTTATGCAGTGATTCAGATAACATGGTGCTGCAGTAACTACCACAGAAACACACAAGAACAGTCTTCTGATTGACCTGACGTTGCCAATGTACAACAGGACTTTTTTTGAACCCCTTCCTTTTGCACGACTCTGTATGTATTTACCTGGGGCACAAACGGTCTGAACTAACACCCAATATCTAAGCATTGCCAAGGGAGACAAACACTGGCTGTGAAAGTATGTGGGCAGAAACATAAGCAGAACACCAAGGTGATGATGAATAACACACTTCTGAATGTTAAGGTACAGTGGGATTTTCATAATTTCATAACATTCCAGCTTCTTTCCCACATTGCAGCAAAACAGAATAAAATGTAGGTGGAACCAAAGTCCTGTTGTTATTAGCATGCAAAGAAAATTCTCTTATTTAAATTCTCCCATCTGTTCTGGCCAATCATTTATGAGTAATTCTCCACATTTCAGTCACCTGAAAAAAATACAGTGAGTTCTAGGCACAAACACTTCCTAAGCAGTTAATATCCAGGATTATGGATGATTAAGTCATACAGTGTTTCATTCTTTCAGTGAGCTTTGTTTCTTGCCTAGCTTCCTCCCTGCTTTTTGTCTAGCATTTCTCTCCCGCTTCTGGCAGATGAAGGGGAGGTGGAGAAGAAAAGGGAGGAAAGTTCTTGGGTAGCATAAGGATTACAGTATTTTCCAATCCTTCAGCAAGGAAGAGCTTGCTCAGGGAACAGACAACCTAATGCTGCTGCCTACTCTTCCAACCCATTTTGTTTTTATTTTTTTAAACCTGTGTTTACAAGCGTTTGCAATTATAAAGTTATACAACCTGGGGACAAAATTTACCACATTTATCTCCTTTCTGCCCCGAAATCCACATGGAATGTATTTCCCACCCACATATTTCCCCCCCCCCTTTTTTGTTCTTCTGTGGGCAATATGAAACAGAAAACTGCAGTTTAGAGAGATCCTCAATCATACACCCACAGGTCATTTACATTTGGTTCACAACCAAGCCTTATGTGAATGTAGACATCACTCATCAAAAGGACAGTTATGCCATGGATAACAAATCATCTCAACTCCCTAAATTAAACAACAGCATTAGCAAAGGAACAAAGTTACTTTCAAAGCATTCTTGGTATTCTGTCTGATTACCTGTCCTTGTTCCTAACAAAGGGAGAACTGTCCTCACACAGCTCTACTTCTGTTTCCTTTCAGTGTTCTGAAATAAGAGCTGTTTAAGGACCTGAGTTTTGTTTTCAATTGGAAAGGTCACCTGGGGTGTGTGGCAAAACGAATCTGTATGCTTCTTTTAATAAGGAGAAAGGGAAACAGATGGGTCATAGAGAAGGAGGGAAATGGAAGTTTATTGCAGCTTTATTTTTATTATAGAAGTCTCAAAGAAGTTATGGAAGAAGTACAATTAGTGAAAGAACAACAGTCTAAGAGCCTACAGAATCTAATTCTCTCTTGAACAAGGAAAGTGATGATTACTTACATATAATATGTAGGATATAATCCTTCAAAGTACCAGCAATGCTTTTTGGCCTCTGTACACTACAAAGAAAGAACAAATATGGTATTAGTATTTGCACAGAATAACATACAATTATAAACACAAGCTTAGAGTATTTATAAATACTGTGACTCTGAGCAGTTGAGAAAGGTTTATATTCCCAAAGCTTTCCCAATCCTGATACACACAGTGACTGGGAAATAAACGGCACCGTGTCCTGCCAAGGTTCAGATCCCTCATGCAGGGCTTCGTCTGGGGAGCCTCACAGCTTCCCATGGTTCACAAACAATGTCAGTACATTCGGCGCAGGCACAGGATCCAGCTGCATATGTTCCCTGCCTTAAAAGGTCACAGACAACATAAAAGCCCACTTGTGATTACAGTCACTTAAGAGAACTCCAAGGCATAAGCAATTTGATGACACTATGCCTACGACTACACAGTAAATACAATAATTGTAGGGAATTATTCATCTTTTTGCAAGTGTCTGGCATGCAGAGCCAGGCTCAGAAAGGAGCAGAATGAAGAACCATCTATCCCACCTCCTCTTCCTACAGCCTAGAAATATCTCAAGTGCTCATTAAAGTACTGGGGAAAGGAAACCACTTTCTGCAGCCCAGGGGTATTATTCTCTTTTGCAGATTGTCAGTGTAGCCTTGTTAAAGGATGGCGACAGGCATTTTCTCAGCATGTGTGTGCCAGCAATGTGGGAAGCACACATCGTTATGGGCACTGCCAGAGTACAGACGGCAGCTCGGAACAATAGCGGCGCTTAAGAAAGAAAACCAGATGTCAAGCACAAACTCTACAAAGCACAAAATATTTCTGTGCATCCTGCTGGCATCCCTAGCATGAAATGCCATCTTCATTGCAGACATAGCTCCAGGAGCTCCACTGCAAGTTGCATTCCCCGATCGCATACAGGCAGGACATTGTGGGACACCCGCCACAGAGCAGTGAGGAATATCTTGCTGAGGTTTTAGCAATGATTCCCTCTGCTGCTCCTACCTGACACCCACTGCTGGAGAGTGCTCAGCACGCTGGCAGTGCTTGGATCATCCTTCATGTTCACTTGGCAGCTCACCTTTAAATAATAGCTCGTATTAGTTTATTAGCCTCCCCAAATCCCAGAATACTAAATGAATCCAGTTAAGACAAAGACAAAGTGTTTTAAGATCCCTGACTCTCACTCCTCATGAATAAAAAAGGCTGCAAGCTCTTTAATGAGCATCTGATGAGCTAAATCACAGACAGATCAATTACAACCCATGAAGACAAACTGCTGTGGATTAAATACATAATGGAGTGGTAATGTATTTAATGTAATTAAATACATAAATATGGAGTGGTACAAGAGATAGAGGGGAGGAGGAAGAGGGGGAAGATGCTTTTGATGCATGTGATCAGGCCTTTTTCCATTAATACAACAAGCTCACACTGGTCTTTGAGATGCATAAGCTTTAGCTTCTTCTGAAAGAACCAGAGTTTTTTCCTCAGGATAAGCACAACAGAAGCCTTGTTCCCCTCTCAAATTGACGCCACAGTCCAGGCAGCATATTCTGGAGGGCTCCATAGTTTCTGCTGGAGAAAGTGGTGTTCAAAGATCCATCTTTGCATTTGCCCTATTCCCCCCTCCCCCACTCTTCCTGCTTCGAGGCTTCCAAATTTTTAACCCTTCCTTCAAAATATTTTCACTAGATGGCTGATTTCTCTTATTCTAAAATTAGAAATATGTTAAGTTTCTCTCTATAACACCCTGGAAACATACATGCATTGTAAACGCAGCAGGCGTGCTGCTAAATCACTGAAAAATACTTTGGCTCTTCACCTTTGGAGGCTGTAGATCAGCAGGCATTGGCTAAAATCCCAGTGCCTGCAGGTCGACTCCTTGGGAAGTCTCTTTCCAGAGTACAGCTTGGGGTGTAGGCCATTAAGTGTTTTTTCATTCCTACTTCTCAGCCAATATGAGTCACCATTTACCTCAACAGCCTTAAAGCCTTTGTCAGTCCCAAGCATTTTAATTGATGTTTTCCCAGCAATGTTTCTGAGCACATGGACCCTTTACAAGTGTAAAGCAGACATTTATATTCAGCAATCTTCCCCATATTTTAATGTTTTACAAGTTCTAAAATGAGTTGGAAAGATTCCTCCTTCCAACATCTCCCAAGTTATAGGACTTCTGTTTCTGCCTCTAAACAATTCTCTTTTTAGACAGCCAATACCTTTACTACTGTTCTAAGAAAGGCTCCAGCTTGGAGTAGTTCCTTCTACTTTACAGGGCTTAGTTACTTGCACTAAACATTCTTTGGTGCCCTAATTTGCTTTTATATTGGCTCTGGAAGAGCAGGCACCAATCCCAATTCCACCTTTTTTTAATATCACAGTGCTATGAATACTGCATGGCAGTTGTTCAGCTCTCCTACAAGGAAATCGGGCACAAAAAGCCAGTGGACTTCAAATGTGAGCAGCAGAGCCAAATCTGATACACATGACATGTCAAACAGATTTACACGCATGGGGCGAACTGCTGCGGTCCCTGCTCAGTTAAACTCCTGCCGATCTCCATGGCAACTTTACTCCAGCAAAGCCTGACATAAGGCAGGCAACTACTAACCACTGTCTCTACTGCTGGTTAGCAGACCTCACAGGAATTTGCTGCTAAGAATAAGACAAGAGTGTCATTGACTCTAAGGATTTGAGTGCCTTTAGCACTCAGGTTACCAGAGAGATGAACAAGGTGGTCAGGGCACAGATTAATTTTTCCCATCCCACACATATCCTCTGAAAAAGGCTATGATAATCCACCTCTTGCCAAGATCTAAATTATTCTTCTGACTGGTACTGGCCTCATAGCTGAGCTGGTGGAGAGCCATACAAGAGTGAGAGGAGACATATGCCATCAGCATCAGGCTCTCAGCCTTTGGAGAGTCACATCCTTATAGTTGTTTTAGACTATTGAAACCTCAAGAAACCACAGCTGACAGGAACTCACTGCAGCTGACAAAACAGATACAAAGGGAAGAGTACTTATATTACTGCAATACAATGGGACCTCAGACATCAGGATTGGTGCCCCCTTTGCTAGCTCCAGTACAAAGACAGGCTGTATCTCAGTTCCTAACAAGCCGTATCTCAGTTCCTAATAAGCATTCATTCCTGTATTTAAAAAGCCACTAACCCATTCACTAATAGCAAAATAGTACGTCAACGGTTTTTAAACTAAGCTCAGGTACAGCCTTGCTGATACTTTCAACTTTTCTAGGCAAAGGGCTCTGCACATTTTGCTTATAAAATTCTTCCTTCTATGTCCTTTAGCAATTTGGCACAGCTATAAAATATAAATACAAGAGTACATTCATTTTTTAAATAAATGATGCAGGTCTAATTGGGTGTGCATATCTGTTCTTTAGAGAATTAATGGTATGTGAATTAGCCAGATGCTTGAATACACTCTTTAAGTTTGCATATCTGGAAAGAAAAAACACAAGCCTCATTTTTTTTTGTTTGTTTGATTTTAAATAAATCAGCATCTGTCTTGTAGACTGTTTGCAAGACTGCAGCAATGCGAGTTGCAAGCCACCCTTTTCTGTGGCCTCTAAATTATTTCAGATTTCCTTTAAGAAAGGAAATGTGCTTCTTGCCACAGATCGAAATTGCAAATGTTACTGCTGCTAGTAAGAACAATGAGAAATAGGAGTTACTAAAACGTTAACCAAAGACTGGTTTTGATCACACCATAAAATACAGAACACAAATGCACATGTATGCACATGGTGTGGGGGACGACAGAGCAGGCAGGCAGCCTGCTCACTTAATGTTGGATGGTACTCCACAGATCATTAGCTATGCTTTGCAGGATTTGCAGAAATACTGTCTGTAGCAGGAATGTCCTCCCCATTGCACATCATTATCTCTCAGTCCACAGGACAACAAAAAGAAAATAGATCTGACCAATTAATTACTCTTTGCAATCAAGGGAGCAGTGGATTCACACTTAGTGCTTTTATTGGAGGCTTGAATTAATAACAAAAAAGCAAAAGCAATTAAAGCTCCATATGCAAATAGTAAATACTTCCCAGTATGAGTACAGTACATTTTTGTTATAGGCACCAATGAAAAAGCAGCCTGCCATGGACAGCCCTGTTTGTGGAGGGCAGGCGGAGGGCAACTGCAATCTGTATGCTGAAGAGACATTCAGAGAGAGTTTGTGACATCTGCTCAAACAGATTCTTAGGAGACACGGGTCTGCTATCAATCACAAGGTCAATAAAACCCTGTCAGTTATCAGCAACTGAGAGCAAGCCTCTTTCTTTTCCATTATGTATTACAGTTATAAGGATGCAAGTAGGTAGATTCAGAAAGAAAAAGGCAGGTATTTAACAGTGACCTGCTATACTGACATGATAGAAATAGTTCCTGGTATTCTGAGATGACCTGTTTTGTTACATCCCACTTAGCTGGGTATACGCTATATATTAGTAATGTGCAAGTTGATCCAAATGTCATTCTTGTGGCTACAGCCTCTGGGGCCCTGGTAGGACTAATACACAGATAAATAGGAAGGAGTTAGAAGTATATACAACATTAAACAAGACCTTATTGTTTCTGAGCATCACATAATCCTGTTCCAACACAGAGCCAAAACTCTGTCTTCCATACAGCTAGATCAAACTAGTAATTGAGGAAATGGGAAGGACAACACCTTTCTCAGATCCTGTGGAGCCATATGGTGAGAAACAACTGTCTGTACCTGCTGCCTCTGTTATAGAAGGCCTCTTGCAGAACTCAGATCTTTCCCAGTTTTATTGGTTACTGCACCTGGCAAATACTCGATGAAGCCCAGACAAAAGAATGGGAAAGTCTGCAATGCAAATCCACACTAAATAAGCAGTTCCAGAAGGCACATTATTGGCTAGGAATCACAATGTTTTACAGGATCTGATCTTTAAAATTGCATCATTTTTCAGAACACTATCCCTTTCAGTGCCTAGGCAAGAGGTGGAAGCATCAAATTAATTCCTACTTCTTCCCTGTTGATGCT